TAGGGAAAGTAACCTTACAGACAGACACTGAGCAGTTATGTTGGTTAGCAAGAGAAAGTAGCTGCTAGCTGAAGGGTGGACCTGTGGAATGAACCAATGAGCCATCCCCAGTTAACAGCTCTGAGACCATGAAGAGTAGCAGCCTAGAGAAGTGGGAGAGCTTCCCAGCCCAGAAGCAGCTCTGTAGTCACCTTCACTGGGGTAGGCATCAGGATTCCAGATCCTGTGTGTCCCTTTGGGGTAGGAGATCATCCTGCAGAAGAGAGCTGCAGGATTAATTGTGCAACAGCAAGCGGTGAGTAGGGGAGGTTAGCTGCCCAGCAAGGCAGCTCTAGATGCAGAATTGGTCAGCAGTGGGAAAGATGATACAGGCAGAAAGGAGGAGCCTGCCTTTCAATTTGTTACATTCAGTATTATTAATTATTTGGATTTCACAGGCCGGTGTTATGTTGCAGCATTTCTCTTATCCATGAAATTCTATTTCTTAAAATGCCTGTGTGCACTCATGCCTTGTAAGGGGTAGGTGGGCAGGGGCAGACCGCAGCTTGTTACCCAGTTAGCAGGGTTTTCCTGGTTTCTGGGTGCAGGACTAGATGAATGCCAGTGTGTCTGAAGGAGCCCTTTGAAACTGAATCCAGACATCTCTTACCACTAAACAGGGCCTAGCACGTCGAATTATTCAGATGCACTACTAAGTCTGTACATCATACAAGCTGAGTTTCTCCTATAGCTGCTGGTGATTCCTTCAGCACAAAGTCAGTTACTATTGAAATTTCACTTTCAGTTATGCTTTTCTTTTGGATGACACAATCAGCCCTGATCACCAACACTAAAAACATTTAAAAGCAGCTGTGGATGATTACAGGATGTTTGCTCCTCAGGGACATGGTTTCTTCCTGGAGACCACTAAGATAGGGTTCCTCTAAGTGAGAATCCTATTGTTTAAAACAAAGCTTTCATTCCTAGTGGTTGGAAAGACTTCGGGTGCTATTTCTGTATCTTTCCAGAGTCTGAACTTCCATTTTATCATCTGTAAAACTGGAATAATACTGCCTCAATTCAGAAGAGGCAGATCTCAATCTTGCATTGCGTAAATAAAGGTTTGAAGCTCGATTCATAAAGGAGACATCAGAAGTTTTATCCAACATTTAGACTTCAGTGACATTTACAGATGATCTGCTACTGTAGCACTGTGGATATCTAGGAAGAGCTAAACCCCTAATCCCTGCAAAGGGTGGGATGTTGTATATTATGGAAATTGTAGTCTTACTGCTAGGGATCCTGTTGTTGAATGACAACATCCATGCTGAGAAGGCAGCACTGGCATCAAGGCAGTAAGTCCCCTAAAAGCAAGGTATCTTCCTTTACACAGTGTTTATGCAAACTTAGAGCAGGCAGGCTGGCATAGAGAAGTAGGACTCGTACTGCGCCAGAGAAGCGCGTAGCTGCTGTATTTCTTTTAGACCCTTCAAAATGGACCTTAACTCAACATACTCAGCTAAAAGCATGGGGTCTCAGAAGCCTGTTCTTACTGAAGTCATATTAAAGAGCTTCCTACTTTACGTACCAAGAAGTCTGTTTCTGAGCAAACATAGACTCTCCTCAGTACATTGCTAACTATATCGCTACATTAACCAATGTCAGCTTGAGCGGCGTAAGTTTTATGATGAATACTTGTTTTCAGTGGATTCGATCAATTCCACGTACCAAATGTTTAGCTGGATGAAAACCTTCATAGTGTTTCCAGTCAGCCAGTAAACAAATGACATCAAAATCACATATGATGCATTTTCTTAATGTACTGCTTTGAAAATTATTTTAACTTCTGCTTCCTAAGCTTAATCAGAGAAAAAGCAGGAGCATTTATTTCAGTGTATCTTTACTACATTCCTTTAGCTATGGTTCCTCAATACAACAACTGGTAAGATTTTATTTTTTTCTGGGAGCACCAAAGCCACACAGTGTGGTCACATGAAAATTTAAAGTTGTCTTAATGCAAGCAAAGATGACATAGACTACTTTTTGGAGAAGGAAAAAAAAAACCCACAAAAAACCCCCCAAACTTTCAAGATGGTGAGCACGATGTTTAAAACTATGGCTACATCCTTTGGCATATGCATAAAATAAAGATCATGGCTGTCTGTTTAGAAACAAATGTCAAGTTTACTTTGTGCAAGTTCAGAAGAGTAAACTCTGCTTTTATACCAATGAAGTGTAAGATGGAGAAGTCACCATCAAAGGGACATTTAAAAACTGACTCTTCCTATCTGTTGCATGCAATCAGTTCTTCACTGGTAAGTTTAGTTATGAAAGACCAGAATGCATTGATTTTGATGAATGCTGGCTAACTCTAAAAGGAAGCAAATGGGAAATAACCCAAATTCCAGATAATAGTTTGCAGACCCAGTACTTCTGCCTCTGGAATTGCCTTTAACTCAAAGTTCTGGCACGCGCATTGCCACTCTGCTCACCCTTGCAGGTTTACAAATATTGCTGCTCCAGGCAATAATACAAAGAAGGAACTTGTATACCTCTTTGAGCTACAAAAAGACCATTCCTGACACTCCCTGATACTACAGGGACCTGATATGAACATGGCAAGCCAAACTGTCTCCAGCGTATTGGAAGGAATGTAACTGTGTCTTTGGTAAGACGAAGTAGAGAAAACCAAGGAGTTTTGTTGTGGGAGAAGGCAGAGCCAGAATGCCTTGAAGAAGAACAGTATGATATAGTGACATCTCCAGGTCCTGTTAGTGGGTAAGTAAGTGAACCGAAGAGACCTAGACCCATGTGCCTGCACAAGCAAGAGTGTTCTCTGTGGATAAGCAGTGCTTTTCAGGAGTTCAGAACAGATGAAACAGGGCAACCTCAAGTAAGCTGTGCTCTTTGTATCTTAGTTCCTACGCCTACTGAGTGCACCAAGCATGTATGGAAAGGTACTCAGTGTTAGACACTATGTTTGTATGGTTCTGCAAAGGTAAAAGCACTGTATGCAGTCTCAGAAGTTTGCATTGCACATCTGACTAATCACCCTGAAAAAGACAAACTCTTAAAAGTGTCACTTAGAATTATAAAAAGGTATAAGCCTTACACCTGATCTTTTTATGTTGCAGCCATTTAATGTGTTCTACCTCTCACTTTGAATTCTAGAGCGGCTTTGGTTAAACAAGACCATTGAATTGTGAGCTTATGGTACTGCAGAGATGTGTACACCACGCAAGCTAGAATGGGAGTTTCTGGCTGCAGGAGGTGATGGGTGTCCTGTTCATGAACCTGGTCATCAGCAGTCCTTGGATTTCAAATCCAGCTGGTAAAGTTTCTAGTTTTTTTTAAAAAAAAAATCTTACTACTTTATTTGCTATGTTGTCTTGCACTGTCTCGTTAAGTGCTTGTCTGGTCTTCCAGACAAGTCTCAAGTAACCAGTCTGAGCAGCATGAACGTACAAAATCATTCTTTTTTTGACCTCTTCAGTGAAACGCTGCGTAGTCTAAAACAGAGTTTTGGCCTTTGTTTGGTTACATTGGTTGACTCCCCAAATAATCAGCTGGTGTTTCAGGACAGTGTTTTTCTGAAGTAGCAGTCTCATTATATCAAGTTATTGTTGACTTTCAATATAATTTGAATTTGGCTTAAAATTGGCAATTTCCTAATTCACCTTAATTTTTTGAGTGCAGTAAGCAAAATCCCCAAATTATAATTGGGGGGAGGGGGGGAATCAATCTTTGCTTTTACAAGCCCATTTTATTTCACAAAAAGAATGAATTCCAAGTTTACAGGACTGACTTCAAATAATATTAAAATACTGACCAGAGCATGATTTCAGGCTGAAAGTACTGAGTTTTTCAGATTGTGACTGTATACTAGCAATGGTGTTCTCTGCTACTGTCTACCGGCCTGAGGTTTTAACTGACAGATGTCTGTAACAGGAGATTGAATATTATGATGTCACAGTGACCTTTTTTGGCCATTCCCAGTACACATGGCCACTCTGAGACATCTCAGCATTCATTTATGAGACCAAGTGCCTCATCTTCTGGCATGAATGTTCTTGATCCCTCTTTTTGAAGTTACATTTTCATTCTTATTGTCTCCAGATGTCTGCTGCTAATCAAGGTCCATTAACAACAACAACAACAAAAGGTAATGACAACAGCTGGCAGAGCAGATTATTAAATGATCATCCACAACAGCCTGAAGTAACAGATCCATGACAAGAGTAGGCTGCTATTGTGCACTAATAGCGTATTACAGGTTAGAGCACTTAATGTGACTGTGTCAGATTTTGGTGCCAACCCGATTCAGAATCCTTTGCATGCATCAATGTACAGGTAGGACTGTCAGCTGGTTTATATAGTAGATACACCCTTTAAAGCAAATTTTCAGTGAAAACTTGATACTGTATAGAAGCTTTCTCTTCACCATTTTCTACTTTTAAATGTTTAGTATACTCAGTATTACAAATAAAAATCAAATACAAAATAGGCCTTTTATAAAAAAAAAATTTTAAAGCATTTCTGAAACTTCAGAATGTTGCATGAAATTTTCCATCACATTCACATTTCTGTAATGACTTTAAGTTCCTGCCACAGTCCTAGATCAGTCATTCCCCTCTGCTTTGCTATCTAACTTTTCCTAAATGCTACCCGCTTTGCTACATTTTCAGCTCCAAATTTTGCTATCAATTTATTTCTGACACGTTCATCGTCTTTTTGCAATTCCAGATCATCCTCTCTGCTCCATACAGGGTATCCATCCAAGCGCTGCCCTGTCTGCAGAAAGTATAAAGTAGTCTCCACTTCACCAGTGTTTTTCAGAAAGGCCTGTGTAACAGTGAACAGGTCCACGCCGAACTTCTCCATGAAGTGCTGCATAGTTTTTACTACTTCTCCCACCACAGTGGAAGAGGAGCAAGTGCTCGTTGGTCTTTCTCCCCTTTGTAATTGAGTGTCAGGGAGAGCAGAGTCCTCAGGTCCAGTTTTCAAGCCAGATGCTGTTTCTCCTGGGGACTTTCCCTCTCCATCTTGTGTAGAAAGTTCTTCTGAAATGTCCGAAGTGTCACTTCCTGACTAAAAGTAAGAGTCATCAGTTAGACATGGTACTTTCTGGCAAGGTTCTTTTATCACTGCTACGCAAACACTTTCCACTGTGACTCTACAGTATATAAAAAAGCTCAGAAATTACTAGGCACAGTAGAGTTCAGTGACTGAAGTGAAGCCGTATGTGTTAACAGCGATATGCAACATCACAGAAAAGCATGAAATCTAAGGGAGAATTTGAACAAACTAAGTATAAAAGGCAAATATTAACACAACTGCAGGAACATTTTATGCCCGAGGTGAAAGGATGACTTCCACTTGCCAATACAGCTTTTAATGTGACAACGCTGTCACATTAATTTCCTCAAGTTAACTTGGGCAGGGAATCATTTTCTTAATATTGGCATATAGTGAGACACCATTCATCATAAGCCACGTTAGTTCACGGCTCGCATGAAGCTCCCACTTAGCCAAAGCACAAGGGATGTCATGGTGCAAAACCGTTAAGAAGCTAATTATGAGTTACTGTTGCGCCATTTTGTGACAACCAGAAAGGACTGCTGCGAGCAGCTCGCTCGGCGGCACTGCGGCGCGCAGAAGCAGCTGCAGCGCTACTCCCCGGGCTGGCCCCGGACGCTTACCTCCGTGCTTTCAAACTCCCGGTTAGCTGCCTCGAAAAGA